CTTAGGAAGAGCCACACTCAAGGGACCAAAAAGCCACATGTGGCTCGCAAGCCGCAGTTTGCCGACCACGGCCCTAGGAGAACCGTACTTATAGATTCAACTGGATACCTCCTGGGTTATACATCGAACACAAAGCATTAGAATAGAAAAAAATCTAAGGCTTGGATTTTAACGAGATCTCCTTCTACATCTTACATCTGTAGTCTAACACATTCCAATAAATACACCACAACAACTATACAATATGTACCAACAATATACCATATCAACAGTCAAATTACAAATCTCAAACACCCAAAGTTACATTAAAAACACATAACGGGCAAAAGTTAAAAGTCTATATTTGTACTTACAGCAAATGATTCCACAATTGTCTCATTCTTCCCTAACTTCCTTTTGTCATAACTCCTCAGATATTTTAGTCAACAAAGAATCAAGTACATTAACAGACCAATTACATCATTTCCATTTTGCAAAAGAGACAAATAGCCAGCCCACAACAGTCTATCGTCTTACCTGGGGGCCTACACTAATGGCACCCAGCACCCACAGTTCATTTGTCAATCAATCAGGTAGAGCCATGCTGCTTTTTTTTTAAGTCATCATGCCAAATTAATTAAACTTTATATTTTTTATCAAAATTGCTGAAAGTGTGGTTCTAAGTCGGCAAACTTTTCTGTTAAGTTTTTCTGGCCATTGGATCTCTGTTCCAAGTACTCAACCTTGCTATTGTAGTATGAAAGCAGCCACAGACAACATCTAAATGAGTAAATGTGGCTGCATTCCAACAAAAATGTATAGGCCCTAAAATTTGAATTTCATATAATTTACACACATCCCAAAATATTTTTTTCAAAATATTTAATGTAAAAACACTTCTTAGCTCTTGAGTAGAAAATAATAGGCAATAGCAGGTGGCAGGTCAGATTTGGTCTTTGATCTATAGTTTGCTGATTCCAGATCTAGACTACCAAAATTGTGTCGACAAACAACTCCCCATTCCCTACAAGGCCTCCAGCAGTAAATATCTGAGGATTGATCCTGTTCTCTTTTCTTCTATTCTGGAGGAACACTGTATATCTTTGAAAAATCTATTCCTCTAAGTAACACATCAAACAGGGAAGGTTTAACTACATGTTTCAAGGCCGTAGCACAGCTTCAGCATGGATTAAGATTCTCTTTCTCAAAGCAAAGTAACTATCTGTAAATAAAGGTGGATGTGGCCCTGGCTGGTGTGGCTCAGTGGCTAGAGCATCGGCCCACAGACTGAAGTGTTCTGGGTTTGGTTCCAGTCAAGGGCGCGTACCTTGGTTGCAGGCTCAATCCCTGGCCCTAGTGGTGGCACGGTGTGGGAGGCAGCCAATCAATGTGTCTCTCTCACATCAATGTTTCTCTCTGTCTCTCCTCCTCCCTTCCACTTTCTCTAAAATCAATGGAAAAGTATCTTCGAGTGAGGATTAACAACAACAACAAAAAAAGGTGGGTGTATAGTCGGGGAGGTCTCAGTGGCAGAGCACAGCCAATGCAGCTTTGATAGTCTAAAAAATACTGGACAAAACCAGGCCATAAGCATCGGCCCTGCCCCCCCCCCCCAAAAAAAAAGGCTTATATAATCTACGCCTGGTGTCCCACCATGTCCTAGAACCACAGAAATATTAAAAACTAACTTTATCAGGAGCCAAATAATCAACAATTTCGGGAGAAAGAATCATTCAAACCCCAAAATTGACTTCAATTTGAAATGACTCTCCAGGAATTTTTGCCTGCTGGCATCTTCCCTGGTCAGACCTGTGCTTTGGTTGTATCGTTACATTTACTGTGTATGTGTGACAAAGGTGTCACAGGGCTCTGGTGTAGCTCTAGGTGTTGGGTAGGAGCCCTAGAAGGCAGGATACTACCAAGCCAAAGAGCAATCGTCCTATTATGTAAAGACCTTAAATTGAGAGATTTCAAAATATGTAGTGGTTGTTTCCCAGACTCTACCCCCCTTCCAAACCCCCCCCGCCCCCCGCCACCATCACCAATCATGAACTACTCCACAGAGCTTTCCTGGTCCATGAAGGAAAACTTTTTAGAGAGGGTAAGTAACCAAAAATTGTAATAATGAGTCAGTAGCACAGAAAGGACCAAACAATTGGGTCTCTATGGCTCTGGGTGCCGGACCTGGGCCATACAGGCCACTATTCAATTAGCAAAGAATCTGTCAGGATGAATCAGACTACCAGCTAATAGAATGGTGAGGAAGGGGCCGCCCAAGCTGAGGGCAATTCAAAGAGTCTTTCAAAAACCAACTTAACAAGTCTTGTGAGCTTTATTTAAATGTGATGGGAAAGCTACAAAATAGTTCTTTCAAGCTTTCAAATCTCCCTTCTGATCTGCCAATCTTGAGAGAAGAAAAGGGAGGTTCTGAGAACAAGTGGCATCTTCAGGCACTGAGTGCTACAAATACAAAGCAAAGCACACACACAAATTTTCCAATGCACAGTCTTGCCTGTTCCCATGCAGGCTTTGTCTAAAACCATGGTAAAAGCAGCTGGGGGTGCCCTAGCCAGTTTGGCTCAGTGGATAGAGCGTCGACCCCAGACTGAAGGGTCCCAGGTTCGATTCCAGTCAAGGGCACGTGCCTGGGTTGCAGGCTCGATCCCCAGTAGGGGGCATGCAGGAGGCAGTCAATCATTGATTCCCTGTCATCGTTGATGTTTCTATCTCTCTCTCCCCCTTCCTCTCTGAAATCAATACAAATATATTTTTTAAAAAGCAGCTGGGGTGAGTGGAGGGTATTTTCAATTCTCAGAAGGGGAAGCACATAATGAAGCTCACAATTTAAAGCAAAACCAAATCACAAAAAGCTGATATTTCACTGATTATCCAGCTTTGCCATGATGTCTACCACAGAGAACTTGACTTCCCTAGGCAACCTGTGAGGAAGTTACCAAGCAATAAAATACAATCATGGTTGGGAGGCAAAAAGTCATAATCAGATCAAAAATTAGGTAACTGGCTAACTGAAAGCTGGCTCTATCTACCACTGTAGGGTGACAGTGGCAGACAGTGGAATAGAGAAAGATGGTAAAAAGAACATCCATCCTAGAGTCCCTTCTCCGGACAGCAGCCAGCTAACTCTTTTTAAAATATATTTTTATTGGTTTCAGAGAGGGAAGGGGAGAGAGATAGAAACATCGATGATGAGAGAGAATCATTGATCGGTTGCCTCCTGCACACCCTACACTGAAGATCGGGCCCGCAACCTGGGCATGTGCCCTGACTGGGAACCCAATTGTGACCTCCTGGTTCATAGGTTGATGCTCAACCACTGAGCCACGCTGGCCAGGCCAGCGAACCTTTTTAAAAGGAAGTCAAGCACAATCCCTCTGTGCTCAAAGCCCTCTGTTGTGACTTGACCTGGGTTCCCTCGGGAAGATGTGCTGCAGCCCTAACTCCCAGTGTTTGCTAACAGTATCTTTGCAGATGTAACCAAGTTAAGATGAGGTCATACTGGATTAGGATGGTCCCTAAACCCAATGACTGGTTTACTTGTAAGTATGCCATGCAAAGACACAGATAAGTAGAGAGAAGAAGGCCATGTAATGAAGGAGGCAGAGACTGTAATAAGCCAAGGAACACTAAGAACTGCCGGCAACCACCAGAAGCTAGAAGAGACAAGGAAGAATTCTTCCCTAGGACTTTTGGAGGGAGCATGGCACTGCTGACACCTTGATTTCAGACTTCCAGCCTTCAGAACTGCGAGGGAACACTAGTACATTCCTGTTGTTTTAAGCCACCCAGTTTATGGCACTTTCTCAAGGCAGCCCTAGGCAGCTAACACATCCAAAGGCTTCCTATCTCACTCAGAAAGAAAACCGCAGCATCATTACAATACGATCCAGACCGCCCCTTACCTGGTTGACTTCAGCAACTACTGCTCTCTGCCTGTCACTCCACTCCAGCCACACTGTCCCCTTCACTGGTCCTCAAACACGTGGCCACGCTGCCACCCTCCCTCCACGGCCCCACTCTGCCAAGGCTGGCCCTGTCTCACACCTTTGCAGATGCCATTCCCTCTGCTGGAAGGGTTCTCTCCCCAGGCATCTGCAAGGCTGTTCCCTCAATCTTTCTTCAAGGCTCTGCTAAGTATCCTTATTATTAAACCTCCATCTAATTACCCTTCAGCATCTGCTACCCTCACCCCATATACCCTATTCCTCCTTCCCCCGCTTCACTTTTTCCTCCATAAAACCGAAGACAAGCGGACATGTATCTTTCACTTAGCCTTTTAAAGGTCCATGGCCCTCTGTAGGGTTAGATGGGTGAGAGCAGAACTTTTTCACTGCTGAATCACAGTGCACTCTACTGAAGAGATAAATGAATTCTGTCAAGACAGGTGAAATTTTACCCCAAACTGGCTGCGTGACAAAAAAGATTTCTACTAATTAAGTGGAACAGCAGAAGCTTTTGTAGATGAAGGGCAGGCTCAAGGTTGGGCTCTGAGGGGTTCGGGGAGAATCTCTGTACCAGGTTTTCTTAGGTAGACTGAGCAGCTCACCACCATTCCTGTGTGAGGAAGAGCAGTTTTGAAACAGCCTCTTCAGATTCCTCCTTATCTACAAAACGTCAACTCTCACCTGTAATTTCTGTCTCCAGCCACACCCTGTAGAAAGCTACTTAGCCTGGGAAATGCTAAACTTGTGTCCATCACTGCATTCCTACACACATTTTTGTTTTTTAGGGGCCGAGGGGAAGGGCCCAGCAGGAAGGTTTGATGAAGACAATCTCCTACTACAAATGTACAAACTACTTGGGGAAGAAAGCCTCTCAGACTACCCGGGTCCTAAAAAACAAACAACATTTCAAATAAACCGGGAGCTTTAAAACAGCTCTCACGCAATGAGGAGACCATCCAAACCTTTTTTTAATGGCCCTAAATCAACACTTTTCCTTCCCTCGTTTACATTTTCAAAACTTTAAAACAAAAGGGGCAGACACTGGAAGTCTCTCCTTACCTTGGGTGTTGGCCACAGGCCCTGCTAATCCGAGTGACGAATCACAGCAGTCCTTGAGAGGTGACTTGATGGGTGTTTCAACTTCAGGGGTCTCAAAATTACCCTCAGAATCCGAGCTGCCAAGGGGGAAAAATGAGGAATTACCACTTTCAACGGTATTTCCGACAGCCTTTATCACCTATCGAACGGCTCAAGTCCAGGATGTTTGCCTAACCCTACAACCCACTGGTCCTCAGCCCCGACTGGCCACGGGCGATGCTGAGGGCTTTTCTCGCGCATCCTGTCTCCCTGGATTCGCCACCATCCTTCGGAGCTTTTCTCCAGCACCATCTATTTTGATGGCATCGGACACCCAGGAGTAAAAGCTCTTTTCAACAGGCTCCTTTTCTCCCAAGAGCCCTTTCCCAGAGCCTTAAAAATTAAGATGGCCCCCTCCCCCTAAAAAAAAAAAAAATTAAGCCAGTTCTCGCCGAGATGCCTTTTTCCCCTGGCAGGCCTCTCGCTACCTGTTCTAACTCCCTCGGCCCAGCCCGAGGCGGAGGATGCGGTCACCTGCCTTCTGCAATCACACGAGTGACAGCACAGCAGAGACCACCATTTCTCACCAGCTGCCAGCGGCCTGTCATCACGCGACCTTCTCTACCAAGACCGCATTTTGGGGGTCACAGTGGGAGCGACCTCTTCCCCACCGGGTGTGATCAATGGCACTGTGAGCGTGTGTGTGTGTGAGTGTGTGTGTGAGTGTGTGTGTGCGCGCGCGCTTAGGCGGGGGGGGGGGGGGGGCCGGGGGGCCCGGAGGGCCAAACTTAGAGAAGGTGACGGAGGCCGACCCGGGTGCGGAGAGACTGCAGATTCTGGGTTAGGTTCAGAAAGCTCACACTGAAAAGGGAGAAAGAAAACGCACGGGAGGACGGAACATCTTTAACTTCCGAATGCACAGCGGGGACCTGGTTCCGGGCGGGGACGCAGCATTGCCACGAAATATTGTTACGCGAGTGGGGCGACCACACACACGCACCCAAGGTGAGCCACAGACGGATGGGCGGGCAGATGAAATGAATGGATGGGTGGGTGGGTGGATGGCAGCACGTTTGCATCTCGGCAGAGATGCGTGTACTTGCCTGAAACTCAAGAGATTTGGTCTCGAGCTTGCGAGTCCTCCTCCTCCTCGAGGTCGCCCTCGAGCCCTCCGGCCTCGTCGTCTCCGGCGCCCCCGCCGCGCACCGCGGACCACGTCCATTTCGCCCACTGCACGAGAGACAGGATCTGCCACGGGCTGAACGCCATGAGCGCGGATCCTCCGGCGCCAGCTCCTAAGGGTAGGGGAACGGGAGAGCCTTTTTTCCCCTTTCAAAATGGAGGGAACCGGTGACAGGCGCCGTTAAGCGTTTCCAGCGGAGGCGCGGATGTGGTTAAACGAGCGCCGTCGGGGCCAGGGTGGAAGCGCTTCCTCTTGGCCGGCCGGCAGCGCCGCTTCCTCCTAGTCTTCCTTCCCAAATGGGGCTGCCCGGCGCCCCGCTGCGCCCGGCGACTGCCTCCGGGAAGATGCTTGTCCTGGGGCCTCCTCAGGGCCCCGGCCCGCGACGCCCGGCAGCTCGGCTACTCGTGGGCTCGGGCTCCCAGGTTCCGCTTCCCCGCCGGCGCGGTGCGCATCAGCTGCCGCGGGAGCCGCGCCCCAGGAGCCGCCCCCTCGGACCGTACTACTTGCGCGCGCGGGGGGGGGGGGGGCCGCCGCCGCCGCCAGCGCTTTGAATGTCTGTAAGCGGCGCCCGGCGGACCTCCCCCGCCGCGGCGCCACGCTGGTCGCGTCCGGCACTGCGGGCAGGGGGGCTGCCGGGCTGCCACTTCGGGGCTGCGGGCGAAGGACCCCCGGCAC